CAACAAATGGTGCTGGGAGAACTGGACAGCTACGTGCAAAAAAATGAAACTTGAGCACAAACTTACACCATATACCAAAATAAATTCAAGATGGATAAAAGACTTAAATATAAGCTGTGACACCATTAAAGTCCTAGAGGAGAACATCGGCAAGAAAATCTCAGATATTTCATGCAGCAACTTTTTTACTGATATGTCCCCTAGAGTAAGGAATATAAAGGAAAGAATAAACAAATGGGATCTCATCAAAATAAAAAGCTTCTGCGTGGCTAAAGAAAACTATTAAATTAGCAAGACAACCAACTGTGTGGGAAAACATATTTGCCAATGATACCTCAGACAAAGGTTTAATCTCCAAAATATACAAAGAACTTACACGACTCCACTCTAAGAAGACACCCAACCCAATTAAAAAATGGGAAAAGGACTTAAACAGACACTTCTCCAAGGAGGACATACAGAACATTCAGAGACACATGAAGAGATGCTCAATATCGTTAGCTATCAGAGAGATGCAAATTAAAACCACAATGAGATACCACTTTACACCGGTCAGGATGGCTATCATAAACAAAGCAACAAACAGCAAATGTTGGAGAGGTTGTGGGGAAAAGGGGTCCTTAGTTCACTGTTGGTGGGATTGCAGACTGGTACAACCATTATGGAAAACAGTATGGAATTTTCTCAGAAAAATAAAAAATCCACCTGCCTTTTGACCCAGCAATTCCACTGCTAGGATTATATCCTAAGAATCCTAAAACATCAATTTCAAAGAACCTATACACCACAATGTTCATAGCAGCACAATTTACAATAGCCAAGAGTTGGAAGCAACCTAGATGCTTGTCAGTAAATGAATGGATCAAAAAATTATGGTACATATACACAATGGAATTCTATGCAGCAGGTAGAAAGAAGGAGCTACTACCCTTTGCAACAACATGGATGGAACTGGAAAGCATTATGCTGAGTGAAATAGGCCAGGTATTGAACGACAAATACCATATGATCTCACCTTTGACAGGAAGGATTCCCGAAGCCCCCTTACCTTTTCTATCACGGCAGAGACTGGCCTTTTCAATGAATATTGCACAAAGTTAGCTACCTCCACGCTTAAGTTTTGTCTCAGTGACTCTAGATTTATAATCTGCGACATTCAGAAAGGTCCCCATGACTCACCCAATTCCATTTCCTTACTTCAGAGAGAAGGGCATGGTGATTGCTCAAGCCTTTGAAGCTGGTTAATGGAGGAGCTGGAGTTCGAAACAAGATTTCCTGACTCCACCAGGGTCCATTTAGCCCACAAACTATGCAAGGGCTTTGACTTTCTACCCACAGTTTCCATTAAAGGCCATTCCTTGTTTTAACCCTTCAACTATTTCAGCAGAGGGGATGGTATAGTGGTCCCATTATGCTACTACTGGCCTTTTACTCTCTACATAACTCTCCTTTCCCAGTCTCTGATGGCTTCGCAGCCTTATGTTCTAGGGATCATCCCTTTTATCTTCTCTCAAAGAGTGCACAACTCGGATGGCTCCGGCTCTCTTTCCCCAGAGAACTCAGGTGCTACAGAAAGAGAAGTCTCACAGGAAAAGGAATTTCAGCGCCACACAGCTTTTTCTTCATGAGGTAAAGGTAAGGTGCAGCTGAGCAACAAAAACAAAGATCTGGGGTATCTGAGCCAAGGTTCATGTACTCATTTATTTCTCATCACACCAACAAGATAAACAAGTGTAGTTCCATGTTTAATGAGTTACAAATGGTAGTGAGCCCAGGAACCTTGAGCATATCTACAGGGCAAATAAAACAAATGTGTTTCATGGCATAAGCAACAAACTTTAGATGATGCGGGAAGAGTCATTCCAGGCTCTGACTACCAAGACTGAGTGCAAAATGAACTTCTCATCCAAAGTGTTTTCAAACCTAAAATAAAACATTTAAATTCAAATACTTTAGCAAAATTCTAAATACAACCAGTACACCAAGAATCATTCTTAGCCAAACAAAAGATCAAGAAACAAAACTGTGAATAAAAATAATGCAAAAAAGATAAAGTTCATCCAGAAAGACTAGATGCCCATCAAAATCACATCTCTTCTTCTGATTCTTGTTCTCGTTCAACATTTTTCAGGAGTCCAACTTCTGAGGGGCAGAAACTGTTAAGTCGAAATTTGACCAACCTGAGGAGAATGAGAGGCATCTCATGTTATGGCGTTTAAGATTAAAAGCCCAGAGCAATGCATATGTATAATACCACAAACTCCAAATTATTTGTGCAAATGGGAGAGGCAGCCCAAAAGAGAAGCCCACTTTTGTTTGGCTTTGGTCATCCCTGAAATTTTCTTGTGGATTAAAGCAGGGTACAATAAGTAAACAGATGCAATATAGCTTTTGAATGCAAAACATGATTATTTAATTAGGTATCTTCTGATGCCTCATTATTCATAACTTTTATCATTTCTAAAACAAAGAAGAGACTCTCTGGGCTGTAGCTGATCCAGAAGGAACCAAGCTAAGCCAAGCTTTTCCAAGTCTGCACCTGGCTGTGTATTGCAAGTGGGAGCCCTCTTCAGAAAGAAAGTGCACAAGGGCATCTCCTTCCAATGTCAAATCTGGGCTGTGTTGCAGCCCCCACTCACACCGTTGGAGAGGTGCTTTTGTGCAAGCCATAGGCAGCTGTACTGCCTAGGATGGTCCACAGTGAATTAGGAAGTTAGAAGTGCAATCTACCCTTGTGACTATTCTCACAGATTAAGATAATCTGTAGAATTGGGGGAAGCAGCAATTATAATTTTTGACATGGGGAGATGCTGTTTAGCAGCGGAAACTTAGCAGACCCTCCCCTTTTCTGATGTAATGAGAACTAGAAAAAGTTTTTTCTGTGTATGATTATTTGTGAAGACATTGTGCTCTGACCATATCAATAAAACATATTTAATTCCAGAAATACATAGGAATATGCAAACAAACTTGATAAACCAAATTATCAAAAACTATTCTTGTTTTATGAAAAACTTCACCAGCCTATCTGCATCTTTACCCTTATTTTCTGCCTTCCTTCTTCTTCCAGTGAAAGTCTAGCCTGCTCCCATCAACATGCATTGTCTTTACTTGTGCTCTGAATCCTCTAGAATATAAGCTTCATGAGAGCAGAGACCTTATCTTATTTACTGCTATAACCCCAACCAAAGTCTAAAACAATTTCTGGCCCATAATAGTGGCTCAATACATAGTTGATAAATCAATGGCCTTTGGGGCAATCTGCCCGGAGTTCATATTTCTTACCTCTTCATAGATCATTCATAATTCTTCACTAACTGGCCCAGTACATAATAACAATTGCACAGTACTCAGTAATATCTGTTGACTCATTAGGAGCCAAGAAAAACTCAATCATTTGTCCTGATTATTCATGGACAATTGATGTTGCTTTCAATGTCCTCAACTCTTCAAGGCATTGTTCTCATGAAAGGCTAATAGTCTGAATTTAAAGTCTGGGGCAGAATTTGTGTCATTTTTTTAAACCCACACAGTTATTTCCACATTGTACAACTTCAATGAATGCTAAATGAAATGGATTAACTAGTCAATTCATTCACTAGGTTCATTCCTGGTAACTTTTGTGGAAGATGAAACAAACACATGGCCTCTTGTTACAAGTAATTGTTAACAGAGACCCTAGTGATTTCTCCTGTCTCCCTTTCCTCCCCTCTGGACTGTATCTGTGGTGGTGACAAGCCGCCAAGATGAGGAAGGTTCAGACACTCTAAACAGGCTTTATCTGCACCCTGTAGCTCTAGGCATAAGCCACTGGAAACAGACTGAGGAATGGAGTAAGAACAGAACATACAAATAATTTCTAGGTCCTGGAATGAGGCAAATGTAGGGAAACAAGGTCAAGGTGTGTCTGGGCTTTTGTCCCCATATGTTCTGCTAAATTAGTATAAGAAAGAGCTGAGATTCTGGGTGTACTTCAGACTTGATCTGGAAATCAAACTTCTAGAAGAGAAACTATCACATGCCTGGACTTTCATCATCTCTAGTTTGTTCTTCAAAACAGCTCACATATATCATTGCTTGGAAAACCAACCTGGAGATGGGCAACATTTCCCAACTCACAGAGAGCACTTTTGAAATACTTCTGTGCAAGAGGTATTTAAATATGAAATACAGTAAAACATGTAATACTATCTCCAAACAGACAGGTTTCTCCGATGAGCTGTCATAATCAAGGCTGTAGGCCTGGGACTGGATGAGGCAATCTTTGAACTCTCATTCCAGAAAATGGGATTACAGCTTCACTTTTCAGATACTTTCAGGATAGTGGCTCCCTAACTCCATTTTGCTCCCTTGGTGATCTTTGAGCCACGTCAAACAGTCTCTGACACAATGTCCTGAAACCCATCACCTGTCACTGAGTCATAAAGCACTCGACAGGTCAAGCCCTGACAAAGAGATTTTCAAAGCTCCTTAGGATTACAGGACAGAATTGGCCAGCTATGTGACCTTACTGCAAGTCAGTACTGAATCTTCACGATGTTTTTTAAGCTACTACTTAAGTTCATATCAAAATACATCAGAACATGAGCTCCCGGCCTTATATTTTCAACAGCAATATGAAAACAAAGCTTAAAAGCATATAAAACATGATTTCCCAACAAATGAAGTCTAGGTTCAAGTAACTCTGAAAGAGATCTATTAAAATAGATCAAATGTTCATTGAGTACCTACTATGTGTTTGACAGTGTGTCAAGAGCTGTGAGAAATATGAACAGGGTCTTTTCCCCATGACAACACAACCTAGCTAACCGATAAGACTGGTGTGCGCTAAGCTTAAACATCGCATGATAGATCACAATTGTTAAAATGTGTGGTAGAGATTAAAGTGCTATAAAAACTCATGAAGAGAGATAAGCAAGGGCTAGAATAATGACAGAAGTTTTTGTCGATGAGATAAGCATTTAATTTGGATATGCCAGATACAAAAGGCTAAAGGGAGGACACTCAGAGGTTGAAAAAATAAACATGGGTTTCTGTTTTCTAGAGAACTGTAAGTGGGTGTGAGAGTCCTTAGGGGTCTGAAGGTTTTTGAAACAGGAAAAGACAGTAGTCTTCTTTTGACTCTGGAAATGAGCCGACACGCAGTAGAGAGGCTCCCTGAGTGCCGGCATTGATCTTGGAAGTTGCCCAGCCCCTAAGGAGATGAGGCCCAGATGTCAGCCTAGAACAACAGAGGAAGAAGCCAAGTTTCACTCAGCCAGCCTTAACAACCAGCTCATGCACATATTTTGGGGGGTAGGGGCAGAAATGGAATAGGACTAATAGGAATTAATCAACGAGAAGATAAAATTTCCCTGCACCCAAAGCACTTACACCTCTAGAAAGAGGCAAACACAGATCAGAGTGGGCTCACCCGAAGCCTAGCAGAGACATGTGGGAGCCATTTTCTTAATGGTTTCCTTACTCAGAGAATCAACACCAAAGCTGTTTCAGAAGCTCAAAGCGCAGAGCAGGAGAGGTGACATGGGACACAAGTCTAGAGAGAAAAGTGAAAAGTAGCTTTGGCCAAGGCTGAGACCCCACTAGGCCAGAAGCAGCTCCTGCCTTTTACGGAGAACCCACCATCCAGGTACTCTCCAATACAGTGTTCACTATGAATGTGTACGTTTAAATCAATTAAAGTTAATGTGGCACTAGGAACATGGTGACATGCTCAATAACCACACATAGCTCATGACTACCATAATAAAGAAGGCAGATGAAGAATATTTTGATCAGTGCTGAGGTCTGAAGGATTAGGTATGGGAGACTGCGTGCCTCGTAGTTAGGATAGGCCAGGCCAATTGACTGTGGTTTGACATTAGCTACCTTAGAGAGAGGACTTATGTTCCCTGCTTCCTGGTACTTCTCATCCTTCAAACTGCAGCTTAATTCTCAATTGTGAGGGGCATCCTCTGAATTCCAGAAGTGCTTTATTCTTCCAGTATTTCCACTTACTGCATTGTACTTAAATTATCTGCCTCTCCCCATAAGGTCTATATTTATGCACTTTCGATACAGAAGAAAAAGGAGAAGAATAAGAATAACAAAAAGAACTTCCACTGAGCTCTTATAAACTGCCTGAGCAGTTTAAATACATGATCTTATTGCGGTACAATTATTGTCCCCAATTTGTAACAAAAAAAGGACACAAAAACAAAAGAAGAAAAATTGAGACTTAACAGGGCTAAATAATCTGCCTGAAGTCATACAGCTGATAACAGGAGAGCTGGGAATCTGTGTTCTTATCAGTCAGCTCTGTTGCTCCTCACCCATCACGAATCATTGTATTAGGGTCCCTGTAAAAACATGCACTGTCCCACAAAATCTTACTTTTAGAATATCAGAGTATGTGTCAAATTAGTCAGGTACTCAAATTCAATGAGAGACAAAAACGTTGGTCATAAGGGAGACACCAAGCATGGGAAGTGCTATAAGTGATGTCCACATGGGCAAACAGGGAGCTCACTCACTGCAGGTGCGGGGAGGACCATGTATAAGAGGGACCGGTGTGTGCAAAGGCATGGAGGCACAGGAGAGGCAATGAAGGGTGATTCACAGATCAGAGGCACAGCAGAGACACTGCCGAGCTACTCTAATGTTAAGCCAGCCTTTATTCTTTGTACTGGCAATTTCTGTGTTTGCAGTTAATTTTCTTCTATATCACTCTGTCTTGTGGAATGCTAAAAATTAAATTCACCTTTGAATTTTAAGTGCAATACTATCAAGTCTTGTCGGTCATACACCAAGCAACAGAACTTCCATAAACAAAAATCATGACTTACCAGATGACAAAAGCATAAATCACTCCAATGATGATAAAGCTGAAAGCATAATGCCAACAAAGGCATATGGTGAGAAACATAATGTTTTCATGATCCATTAGGTCCCATGCAGGACCTCCAGTGGGGGGATAAAGGACAAAACCAATCTGCAATTTAAAACAAAAAGCACACATGGAAATAATCAGCTACTTTTCAAAATGCCCAGTTTCAAGATTAATGGGAGCTAAGACAACTCCCTTATCTGAAATATTACAGATAAGACATCAGGTTTTATTGCTTGTTTTAGTAATATAGACAGTACCTAGTAGTTCTTGCAAAAAGAAATTAAGGACATGTTTTTGCAAAAAGAAATTAAGGACATCTTAAGATCAATTTCAAAATATGAATAGTAATCATCTCTGGAGATTGGTAGATTTTCAGAGAATGTGCTTTGGGTTGCAAGTTGTAGGTTTCACCTGGTACAACTAAATTTTTACCAGGTTTTACCTGGTAAAATTTTAGAGTACAAATAGGTTTTAAAATAAGTAAGTGCCCACAGTTAACACTATAATCCATGATGAAAACCTGCAAGATTTCCCCCTAAGATTAAGACAAGGTATATGATTTCACCATTTCTATTCAACATTATACTAGAAATTTTAGTCAGAGAAACTAGGCATGAAAAATAAATAACATCTGGGTGACAAATCTAGAAGTAAAATTACCTATATTCACAGATGACATGTATATAAATGTCCCTGAAGAATCCACACAAAAATATATTAGAGCTAACAGTCAGTGTATTTGTAAGATACAAAAATCAACATGTGAAAGTCCATTGTATTTTCATACACATGCAATGAGCAAACCAAAAATTAAATTAAGAAAACAATTCCACTTGTAATAGCATTGGAAAGAATAAAATATTTGGAAATAAATTTAATAAAGGAGGTTCAAGACTTACACACTGAAAACTACAAATTATTGTTGAAAGAAATCAAAGATGATCTAAATAAATAAAAGTACATCCCATATTTATGGACTGATTGATTTAATATTGTTAAGATGGCAATAACACTCAAATTAAGCTAAAAATTCAATGCAATCCCCACCAAAATCCCAATGGCCTTATTTTCAGAAATGGAAAGCTGATCCTAAAACTCACATGGAATTGCAAGGGATCAAGAATAGCCAAAACAACCTTGAAGAAAAAAGTTGTAAGACTTACACTTTCTAATTTCAAAACTGATTACTTCTAGGCTCTCAATTTTCTCTCATTGGTTCATGTGCCTGTTTTTCTGCCAATAGCATGCTGTTTTGATCATCATTGCTCTGTAGTATAATTTGAAGTCAGGTAATATGACACCTCCAGCTTCATTCTTTTTTCTTAGGATTGCTTTGGCTAATCAGGGTCTTTTGTAGTTCCCTACAAAGCTGATGGGTTTTTTTGTTCTATTTCTTTTTAAAAAATAACATCAGATTTTGATGGGTATTGCATTAAATCTGTATATTGCTTAGGTTAATACAACCATTTTAACAATGTTGATTCTCCCAATTCATAACACTGAATATCTTTGCATTTCATTGTGTCTTTTTCCATCTCTTTTAATAATCCTTTGTGGTTCTCAGTATATAGGCCCTTCACATCCTTTGTTAAGTTATTCCTAGGTATTTTATTCTTTTGGTTGGAAATGCAAAAGGAATTAGCTTTTTTATTTCTTTTTCTGAAATTTTATTGATAGTACATAGAAAAGCAGTGAACTTTTGTACATTAATTTTGTATCCTACAACTTTACAAAATTTGTTTATTGTTTCTAATAGTTTTTTTGGTGGAGTCTTTAAGGTTTTCTATGTACAGAATCATGTGATCTGCAAAAAGTGACACTTGTACTTCTTCTTTCCCAATCTGGATGACTATTATTGTTTTCTCTTGCCTGACTTGTCACTAGGACTTCCAGCACTATGTTGAATAAGAGTGATGAGAGTGGGCATCCTTGTCTCGTTCCCAATCTTAGAGGGAAAGCTCTCTGTGTTTCACCATTGAATATGATATTGTATTGACTGAGGGTTTGTCCTATATGGCCTTTATTATGGTGAGGTACTTTCCTTCTATACCCATTTTATTCAGTGTTTTAATCATGAATTGATGTATCAAATGCTTGCTTGCATCTGCTGATAAGACCATGTGATTTTTACTCTTTGTTGTGTTTATGTGGTGTATCACATCAATCAATTTGCATGTGTTAAACCATCCTTGAGCCCCTGGAATGAACACCACTTGAACATGATGTATTATTTTCTTAACGTATTGTTGTATTTGATTTGCTGTATTTTGTTTAGGATTTTGCATCTGTAGTCATCAGAAATGCTGGTCTGCAGTTTTCTTGTGTGTGTGTATTATCCGTGCCAGGTTTTGGTATCAGGGTTACATTAGTTTTATAAAATGTGTTAGGAAGTGCTTCCCTTCTTCAATTTTTTGGAAGAGTTTGAGAAGGACAGGTATCAAATATTCAAATGCTTGGTAGAATTCACTAGTGAAGATATTTGATGTGGACTTCTCCTTTGGGGAAGGTTTTATTTTGTTTTGGATTGCTTTGGTTTTTGAAAGTTAGGTGATAGTTTTAAAAGCTTTACTGAGACATAAATGACAAACAATAAATTGCCTGCAGTGAAAGTATAGTTTGATGGGTTTTGTTTTAATTTCCTCACTGTTAATCAGCCTATTTAGATTTTTCAGTTCTTCATGATTCAGTCTAGGAATTTATCCATTTCTTTTAGATTATTGAATTTGGTGGCGCATAGTCTTTCATAGCATGATCCTTTGTATTTCTGTGATGTCTGTGGTAACTTCTCTTTTGTTTCTGATTTTGTTTATGAGTCTCATGGTTCTAAGAGTCTGTGCATTTTCTCTAATGTCTTTATATTTTCTCTAATGTCTTTATTTTTATGCACTTGTTTAAGCATATATGGAGAAGTAAAGAGAGGAAAAAATACAGTGAGAAGCAAATCACTGTAACATTATTAACTTGAGACAGTTTTGCCCATAAACATTCATACATCACACATTGCAACAAAACATGGAAGCATGTTAAATTCTCCGAAGGCTCCAGACTTTTCTTTCACTTTCAGCAGAATCTAACGGTCTCATCCTTTCCTATGTGAACCCTTCCTTTCCTGCCAGTGTGTGTTTGCACTGATGTTAAATATTCATTTTTCCTCAAAGCTTCACATGTTATAGAGTCTGGCCACCAGGTTAAAAAAAAACTAGTCTAGACATATTGATAAGTAGGAAAAATTTTAAATAATCACAGATTTATGCCCCAAAACTTCAACCTTGTAGTTCTTCCTCAGAAAAGTTTTGGGGAAGATAAGAAAGCATTATTTCTCTGCCAAAAGGGACAACATTAAACCTGTCAACTCTCAGCTGTGACAGCTCACACCTTCCTCCCTCAAATATCTAATTAATTATTAATGGAACACTAATTAGTTTAATTCTGCACTTTATTATTTTTTCTTCAACTCTCTTTTAGTTTCCCTTTTGTTCTTACTTCCTAGCTTCATTTTTGAATATTTATTTCTTAAACAAATTTGATGTAGTAAATGTATGCAGAATCCCAACCCCTCCAAAACACAATATACTTTCTTTTCACGTACATGGAACGTTTGCTGCCACTGACATCGGCAATGTGCCAAATGAGGTCTCAACACATTTCAACGAGTATAAATTCTCGGGCTCAAAGCAATTAAGTTGGAAATGAACAGGAAGAAGAAAGAGAATATTTCTGGAAACTTAAGAGTACACTCGTAAATAATTCATATATTACAGAGGAGTGGATTGAGCTGGGGCTGCAAGACAAAGGGTGACCAGTTCAATTACCAATCAGGGCACAGCTTTACTAGGTTGTGGGCCAAGCCCCCAGTAGGGGGCGCATGAGAGGCAACTACACATTGATGTTTCTCTGCCTCTCTCCTTCCCTTCCTCTCTCCCTAAAAAATAAATTTTAAAAAATCTTTTTTAAAAAATTAAATAAAAATGAAAGTACATGAAAAATGCAACATTCAAGATTGCCCAAGATGACTATCATATATTGAGTCTTATGGGAAGTAAATATAGTAGTATGTAGAAGAAAATCTATAGCCTTAAGTATATCTAAGAACAAGAATGAAAATAAATGAGCATTCAATTAAAAAAAACTAAAAAAAAGAGAAGAATATAGTCTAATAACAAAGCAAAAACCGAAAATAAGGAGAAATTCACAAACCCACGACTATAATATAAAACTTAAACAGACCTCCAACAAAAAGTGAGATATGAATGGGATGAAGGGATTGAGAAGTACAGACTGGTCTTCACAAAACAGTCATGGGGATGTAGAGTATAGAATAGGGAATATTGTCAATAATACTGTAATATTATAATAACTATGTATGGTGCTAGGTGGGTACTGAAAATATCAGGGAGATCACTTTGTTAAGCATATGGTTGTCTAACTACGATGCTGTACATCTGAAACTAACACAAAGCAATATAGAATATCAACTAATGTCATTGAAAACATTTTAAAGGAATACAGAATATGTAAACAATACAGTTAAAGTGTTCCAAAAGCCTGGCATCATCCCTCACCTTAAGAGAAACACTTTTTTTCTTTTCATTCCACTGGAACTAAAATATCCAGTATCCTTGATATTTTATCTGTCATTGTTACATGTTTGAAACAGAGGCAATACACCGAAATATAAACTCACTGTGTCATCTTGACCAGAAGTTACCCCCTTTACACTCTAGCTTTATTTTTGTCTGTGAATAGGCGATAACACATGCACACGGTGACATCCCAACCAGGAGAGAGAGAATGCATAAAAATGTTTTCTATTTTGTTGCATTTAGGATCTCAGCAGATGATAAAAATCTAAAAATGCAACTTCTGTATAAACTGGTTAAATTCACCAATTATCAATTTTATCTCATTATAGGACATGTTTTATTTGTTCTTTATTTTTTTCTTCAAAATAGACTTTAAATTTAGCCCCTCTTCACTAGTCTCTGCTCCGACAGCCTTTCTACTCCTGCACATGCTTAAACATCATGTTTCCTCGCCTGTTCTGGTGTCTCTCCCCACTGCCTGCCAATGCCTTCTTCTCAATTCCTCGTGCGAATTCAAGTCCCTGAAATAACTACAAGTTCTCAAATCCCACTCTCTGGGGACTAAAAATCACTTCTAAGAAGTCTTTACTGATTAAATTACATTGACTTTTCACCTCAGACATTCTTTCCATCTATAGATAGATATATTGGATTATGATTTCCAATCCTCTATAACATGTATGTTCACTGAATACAGTTTTCCAACAACACAGCGAGGTCAGGGATTTGACAGAGTAAAATGTAAAGAACCTGGGATTTTCGGTCAGATACCCCCATTTAGATTCTAGTTCCATTACCGGGCGAGTGCTGGGTCTCTCTGATAATACCTAACTTACAAGGTGTTGTGAGGACACAATGAAACAATGTGTGTGACAGTGCTGAACGGTGGCTGGCGTATACTTGTTTATCAATAAATAACTGTTTCCTCCATTCCCTGCCTTTCATATATTTCTCGAACTTATTACCCATTAGTCTGAAAGTTGCTTTAGCATCAGGAACTGCTTCCCACTCAGAGCTCCAGCTCAGAGTTCCCCCATAGTAGAAATTCAGGTATGTGATAAAGATGCACACACCCGACTCCCTTCCCCACTGCTCTCTCATTGCTCTTACCGGGGCTGTGGTCAAAGGCCCACGTTCTCACCACAGCAGCTCATCAGAAGGAAGTCTCTGGGCTCTGGAGCAAAGTGCCCCACCAAACAAAGAGAGAAGGCTATAGGTGAAGACACTAGGTACATTGACTGGAGGCCCCAACTCACCTGCCAGAACCAGCTTCCCTGAAGCAGGACAAAGCTTATACGCAGTAACTCCAAAAGTACATTATGGCGCACAAGGAACTCCAAGAAAGCAAAAAGGCCTGCCAAACTGACGACCAAGACCAGTAGCTGGTGCACAAAGATGTCCAGTATTTCCCGACCGTGAGTGTGGTTGTAGAAAATAAAAGCTGATGGAGGAAAACAGTTTGTCTTGTTTAATGAAATCTCTCTCTCCCTCCCTCCCTCTCTCCCCTCCCCATCTTCCACAGAGCTTTATACATACACACATTTGTCCACTGCCTGGTGCCCACTGCTTCTCAGCTTCTCACAATAACGGCATTTTAGGAGTCATTGCTACCTCTTTAGGATGGAATCTTTGAAATCTAACACTCCTTTTCCCTTCCCCAGCCTTTATTCTTTCCTCTAACACATCATGACATGTTCAACTAACTGAATTTCCAAGCATCTTCTATGCAGGATGAATAGTAACCATGTGGGTGTGGGGAGCAGGAGTCAGGGCCAGTACACAGAGGAAGGAGGACAAAACCTCGGCTTCAGGAATTCGGTCCCTTGGAGGAAGCATGTGTGTACAGAAATCATAAGACCTCTGGAAGCTCCCAAGAAGTAGAAGCTAACCACATTTTTAATCGCATGGAAAAAGTACAGCTTTATCCTCTTTTTTATTTAGTTGAAAAAGAAAAGATGTTTATTTGAAGTATTATAACACCCTGTGATTCAGACTCTTGGTTGTTGGTGCCCACCTTCTATCTAGCCCTTGTTCTCAAAGAGAGGTTGGCAAAAGTTCTTGGCTTCTTATGTGGGAGGCAAGATGGACAGTGAGGAAAGGACTGCCTCCTGGTAATTTGGGGCTTTTTTAGTTCCACAGTCGATCCATTCCTTACAAATTTAACAGTAAATGAAAATGAATCATTAAACACTTGTTTTCAGTGTTTCCCCATATAGTAACAGGGAGACCAACTGAACAAAAAAATGCTGTTCTTCTTTAATCTCTCAAATGCAGGACCTCACATTTTTATGAGACTGAATCCTTTGACCCCTACTTACCGTGTCATGGTGGAGTGTTACTATGTCAGTATTTAAAAGGCTAGTTAGCAGATGGGAGAAGCTACTCTGCTCTGTCATCTCATTTTGAGATATTCAGATATCACTATTCTGAGCTCAGTTTCACATTTCTTATCTTTCTTTCTTTTTTTTTTTTTTTTTTTTGAGATGTCAGCTTTTATTTCTTTTTTTTTTTTATGGGTGTTCAAGTACAGTTGTCTCCATTTTCCCCTACCACTTTTAAAAACAGAAATAATGATAATCTCCATGATAACCCAGAGATAAAGAACCATGGCAGCGGGTTCTTCAAGACAGTTGGGGAATGTGAACAAGGCACTTTGAATGATTGTGCTTGTTCCGTTTTACTAAATGAGTCAGCGAGGAGGAAAAAGTCTTTGGCATCTGCCTGGGATATCACCTAGTTCAACATGGCCCAAACTGATAACCCTACGGACCAAGGCTATGCCAGGACACTAAAAATATAGCATAAAGAGTTAGACAAATATGCAGTAATAGGGAAAGGTTCAGGAAAATACTCACTCATACTTACCCTCCACTAATAAGGCGTTCGACAGCATTAACTTGGTTAAAGAGGCTGGGATTGAACTGATGGTAGAACATAAGATGTTTGCCACACCCAGCAGCCCAAAGAAGAAATACATGGTGGTGTGATGCCAACCCAGCAGCTGGACCCACTGGCCTTTTTTATAGTCATACAAAGTCAGGTGGGGTCCTCCAACAATAAACTGTTCCCCCAGCATACCTGTGGAAGAACATGTTAAAGTCTTAGCAACTCTCTGTAACTTTAGCAACAAAGCAGGAAGATGCAGGAGCATTAGCTCATGGCTTAGTCCAGTCTAGGGTCCTTTCATGACATTAATTCCTCTTTCTGGGCTGTTCCCTAACAGATGAACACTTGTGGTTTGAGCTTGTTTTAGAGGTTCAAATATTATTTTGGATAATCACTTTCAATCAAAGATAATCAGTTTAATCAAAAAGGTATCTCAGATCTTTGAAGCTGAAGACCTTAGTTCCGTGACCAGGTTCACAGATGATCTCAATTCTTATTTTATTAATCTAATGACGAAATAAACCCTGGATGATTTGGGGTCCAGGGTGTATAAGATCAGTCCCACAGAGGATGATTGCTTCTTTCTTGTACACTGTGTCTCTGGGTAGCTGCCACAAAATAGGAAGCTGTGCTTGGTTCAGCATAAAAATGCCAGAGTTCAGCTTTTCTGCAATTAAAGATAACTGAGAAAGCACAGCCAGATACAGCCTATGGTCTAGTCAGCTACACAGACAGTTCAACTTTCTTAAACTTGTGGCTTTATATATTAATCTAAAAAAATTGGCATGGAAATTTCTCTCTTAAGAAGTGGTTGCTTTGGAATTTGATACGCAGAACAAAGACCTATTGCCATGAATTAGGCATGAAGAAATCCAAAGGAACATTATGAAGTTTTGCCATTCATAAAGGAGAGACTGAAGTGAAATTCTAAAAACACAGGACACTCCCACAGACTCTTACAGTCAGTGGAAAGGCCTTGGAAGTCACCTGACCCAACTTCCCTCTCCAGTTCAGAAACAACACAACAAGGATGAGTGCATGAGGCAAGCCCTCTTCAGCCTAACCCTCCACACAGCCTACCACCAATGCTTATTACTGAAGCCTTCCCATAATCACTTGATTATTCAGGCGTTATTTTGAAAAATGGTCTCTGATAAAGTTTAGTCTTTCAGGAATCAGAATAACTGGCATAAAATTATTTCAGAGGCTCCAGCCAATTGTATAAAGGAAATCAACCTTGAGTAGATAGACAAGTTAATTACTATGACTAACTCATTAAGGAACAAACCTTTGTATAAATGTGAAGCATCACTTTCTAATAACTGTATAAGACCGCAATTACAATGAGAATATATGTTCAGAGATATTGTCAAATAAAAATTTCATTTTAGCAATTTCTTGAATTGATATTAAATCTTCTCTTTGCATGGGATAATACCCTAAAGGAGAAAATGGAATACAGAAATAGTCTACTCACCAGTTAAAGCCATGCAGATTATTATGATTCCCTCCACAATGTCTATTCGATGGAATAATGCTTTGGAACCAAGATAGGAAGTCCGCTTGTGCCTTTTGCAGGCATACTTCAGAACAGACTTTAGAGTCCAACAAATGCCTATGATGTAGAAGAAGGTTCCAGGAAGGGCATGACCTTTGAAACTCCCCATGTCTACAAGATAAGAACATATAGAAGATGGAGAGATTTTATTTCCAGAATTTAGCCAAAATGTCATGTATTCTCTATCTTCTTATGACTATGGATACACCACTGACTCAGAGGAAATGATAAAATGGTATTACTGTAACAGTAGGAGATCCACTACAATACCAAAACCAATAAGAAAAAAATTCACAGTCTTTGAACACCTACCTTGTTCAAGGCACTGTGCCAAGTGTCTTACATGAGATCTTTTTCACCTGATTTTTACAACACACCTACCCATGAATGAGAGACCAATTCCCATTTTCAACTGGGATACAGGCAGAGAGAAGTTAAATGACTTACCTGAATCTCACAACTATTATGCAAAAATTTCATTGTTTTTAGCAGGAAGCCCAAAAGGATTTCTCATGCATATTTGAAGAAAAATAATATTCAAGTTTTATGTTTATGTTTAAAACTTGACATGATATAAAATTGCCTACACATTTTTTAAGTAGGTAACTCAAAATATCAAGAATTAAAATGTTTGCAAAAAACTATTAGTGCCCATCAACTGTCTGTGTGCTCCTCTACACACTTTTCCCAGCCTCTCCTCCCATTCCATCAGAACCACATTCCTAGTTCTGGCCAAAGGACTATGGCATTTATCACTTTCAGGCTGAGTCAGTCAGCAGCCTACCTGACTCCATTCACTCTCCCCCCCTGTCTTGCCCATCTTGACATGGTATGTCTGCAACACAGAGGATGACCAACCAGCCTGTTTCAGATTTTGCAAGAAACAACCTTTGATTGTGCCAGGTCATTGAAATATTGACGTTTAACAGCTTAACCCAGCTGGTGACCCAGATGGCTATGAGGCCAAAGAAACTGAAAATTCTATTTACACAATCTTGCATGTTGGAGCAATAACAAACAGAAATGTCAGAAATGTCTTCCATTCTTGGTCAGTGCTACAGAAAACAGTCTCAAATTATGTAGGTTTTGAATTAATGTGAGCAGCCCTTTGTTCAAATATATTGTGCCATCAGTGAAACACTGAAGAAAAAGTTCAGAATTGTCCTTGTAGATCTTACTGTGAAAGGAGACTTCAGTGTTTCCCTGGCCCATCAGAGTTCTTTATCTCCGTGGGTGGGTATCGGGCCTCTCAATTCAGGGCAGACCCCTTTGGGTTACTTCCACATCCTTCTCAGGCAACCATGAAGTTTCAAAGGGGAACTGTGAGACCGACTCATATGACAAAATACCCAAGACCCTAAATGGACATTTCAGCACAGTCCTGGCTCGTGCAAACCATCCAAGAGACTGACTCCATATTATCACATAGCATGAAGTGCAGGTTCTTGTTCTAACTCAGACTCTAATTAGTAGCATGGTTTGAGGCATGTCTTTAACCTCTTTAAGCCTTAGCTCTTAATAAAAGAAAGAGGTGGCCTAGATAATACCTGGAGTTCCTTCCTGCTCTAGCATCCTGTGATTCATTATCCTAACCACCATCTTTATCACAGTGTTACTGAGTTCTCCTGTTTGTTTTGGTTTAGGTAACCCTATGGAATTGAATAATACTGCTGTGGTGGATTAAAAAAATACATTCACACTGTAAATTATTTTAACTTCTCTGGCAAAAAATAATATGTTTTAAGGAGCCTTATCGGTATTATATTCCTTGGTACAAGGAACCCACTTTCAGGAATTTATCCTAAGATATAATTGGAAATATAGGCACCAAATTTTAGACATAGAATGTATGTCTAAAATTAGAAGAATAATTAAATAAATTTCATAGCCCCTAAAAAGTTTTCAAATAATTTATATAAGAGGGAATATACGTAGTGGAAAGAATAGGATTTTTCAAAACGGAGAAGGGGCTTTGGATTTAGACTAACCAGATGTGAAGCCCAACCTCATCATTTACTAGGCTACATGACTGAGGGCAAGTCTTTCAACCTCTCGGTGCTTCACTTCTCCCTTCTATGAAATTGGACAAGTAACAGTACATACCTAGTAAAATTAAAGTGAGTTACTCCAAAGCAACTAACCCGTACTAAGAAGTACTAAATATGCTTATGTTATTCTCGATCCACTCAAAATGCCAAAGTAAAACAAAAGTAAACCCAGATTAAAACTTTTAGGTATTTAGGTAAAAAAGTTACGTGTTAACTGCAGAAAAGCAAGAAGCATGTAGATAATTTTCTTGGCCATTATTCATGTCCAGTCTAACGCATTTCTTCTGCTGTTGTCTTAGAGGGTCACTGGAATCTCCTGTGCTTATTTAATTTCTTGACCGCAGTTAGAAAATAGGCTTCTTGAAAGCAGGGACCATAAACCTTCCTTTCTACTCCCCGTTGGGCTGGGATAGTGCCATTAAACACTATGAAGTTCTAAATCAACAAGAGTACAACTAAGCCCTTCTTATAATACACAACAGTTTATTTAAAAAATATCTCCATTCCAATGTCTCAAAGTGTGCTCATAGTCAACATCCCCCCAAACTGAACCAATTGTAGTATACACTCATCACCACCAGAAAAATGTTTCTCCCCAGTTAACAATTTTGGTTAACACCACCCTTCACCCACTCACTCAAATTCAAAGTATGAAAATTACCCTAGAATTCCCCTACAGCCCTGCAAACCAATTAGTTATTGAGACCGATTGTTTCTACTGCCTTACCCTCCCCGCCCCAAATTTGGCAACTTCCCCTAACTGCTTAGTTCTGCCTGCTTAGGGAATCCTCCGTGACGGCCACACAGGAGAGAGGCCCTCTTATTCCTTATCGAGGTACCCAGCTCTCACTTTAGTGAGCTCTTTGTGTGATCATTATTGAAGGTCTGTCCTCTCCACTGGCCTCTGTGTTCATTACTGTAGGTGCAGTGAACACCTGGGGCCTCTCAGAGGGTAGGCACCTCCATTTTTTTGAGGCTCCTGCATTTTAAAAAAGGAAGAAAATGCCAAAACAGGGTTACAAAAACTGTGGCTGTTTTTAAATGTTTAGATTTACCTAATAAATACTTTCAACACACTCATAAAGGATATACCTACTGTGGAAGATAGCATGAAAGATTAAATAACATTAAACCCTTCCTACATGTGTAGCTGTAGGCCAGATATCTTCATAACCCACCTCCAGGGCCAACTAACAGGTTCCCGCTGCCCCATGGGCTGCGCGAACCTGTTTCTGCACAGCCACTGGGACAGACAGGGAGGCTCTGGGGAGTGGTTGGAGGCTTTTAAAGAGGGGTAGGAAGTGATTGCAATGGAAGGGAAAAAATAGGTCCCTGTTTCGACTTCAGTTATAAAACTTAGGTATATTTAGCCTTTTCATCGAAAACAATCTGATGGTTCTCATCATTTTCTGTTTAAATGACCCAAACAAAACGAAGTCAGAGCAGGCCAGCTGTGTTTGCCTGACCCAACAAACCCAGTTGCTCTGGTGCGCTGCAAGGAACAGTCATTTTACCTCGTCTTCAATGTGGCAAGAAAGAGTTGCCAAGATCCTCAAGTATCACTTCAGTGTCATCTCCTAGAACACCAGTATCCATAAATCTGTTTTTGTATCCCCTGTTTTACTATTCCCCTCAGCTACAACTTAATACTCGTACAAGCCAAGTGCTCCAGAGTTCGATTAGATCTTAATCCAAAGAACAGACACATTCCCCTTGGAAGAAGAAAAGGCTTTCCTCGAACACAAAAGAGGGCACACCTGCCGGACAGCCAGCAGAAACCCCAGGGAAAACCTCCAGGAAAGGAAACAAAAAGGTCTTTCTGAACATCCTCCCTGCCTGATCTCCCCCCTTATAATCTCACAAAGGGAAAGTGGTTCACTCAGGCCTAAAAGGGTGCAAGAGTCAATCACTGGCTTCTAGCTGCAATTCAACCTCCAAATTCATACTCCTCCCCGCTCCAAAACCCCTGTCCTCCTAATGACACCAGACGTCATCTTCTGGGCTAAAGATGAGAAAGAACTCCTGATACCAGCACTGGCGGCCCCTTCAGCACACACACACACACCAGCCAAAAGGGAAATATTTTAAAACTGAAGCACTTAAAAGATAATAGTGGGTAAATGCCAAGATCTAAATCAGGTGTTAGGTGTTCATTCTCAGTGGTTACAGTCACATAAACCACAGACTAGGCCCATGCACAAAGGAAAGTAGCCCAGAGAAAAACCCTCTAGTTTTCCTGGTGGAATCTCAACTACATATGAATATAAAATGAATATTATGGGAGAAAACTTTAAATTTCACCTTAGCCATCACTAAAATAAAGTATTCCTAAATCTTAATTAATGACTCATATTTCAAGACACATTTGTAAATCCAATACCTTAAGCCAGTTTGAACTATTTATTGAGCTTCACTTTACTGTTTGCCTTAACACGCAAAGCAAAGCACAGACAAGCACATGCAGCTTTCATATTTTTTGATTCTCCATCATTTCATACCAGCACTTTCCCAAATTTCAACTGTTTTCAGTTAAACTAACCTTAAACTATCCTTTAACTTTTCTTAAACTATCCTTACCTTCACACTTTCCTTAATGTCAAGTTCAATTCAATTCCTCTTCCAAGAATTTACAATGCTTCTGGTCTCGAGAAGGAAAAGCAGATACTGATTGGCCTAACCCTAAAGTTCTTCCTCAGGGAGACTAAACCAATGTGCTCATCACTCCCAGAATGAAGTTGAGCGGATAACCCTCTGAATGTCACATGTCTGCATAAATGTGAACCTAGAGACCACACCCTTTTGAATATCCTAACTCTCTGTTTAAACTTGTGTCATAGAGTATTTCCCAATGAGACTCACCTTGTTACCCCGCCCACATGACCACTAGCATCAGGCATGTACCACCTGCTATGAGAACCAAAGCTGGTGGGGTATGTGTGATCTTTGCTATCTCTCTTCCAGGTCATCGAGATGAACATAAGACAAAGGGAATGGTTATGGCAGCAGTAACATAATAGAGCCTGTTTGACAAGTCCCGTAGAGATCATCCGTTTCCTAACATAC